TTGTTAGAGGGTTGTTAGAGGGTTGCTGAACAATGGTCTCTGGCCACTGTTAGAGGGTTGTTAGAGGGTTGTTAGAGGGTAGCTGTACTATATCTAGCTTCATAAGCCAGCTGACAATGTTGGAGAGTGGGGTGGGGCGGAGGTGGGAGTAGAAGGTATTTTGCATCATACCCGACCCAGTTGTCAATATGGGGGGAGGGGGCAGAAGGTAACTGGCATCATACCCGACTCAGCTGACACTAGCAGAGTGGGGAGGGGGAGGGGAGAGAAAGGTATCTGACAACATACCCGACCCATCTGACACTAGCAGAGTGGGGGAGGGGGGGAGGGTGGGAGAGAAAGGTATCTGACAACATACCCGACCCATCTGACACTAGCAGAGTGGGGGAGGGGGGGGGGGGGGGGGAGGGGGGAGAGAAAGGTATCTGACAACATACCCGACCCTGCTGACACTAGCAGAGTGTAACAAAATATTTCCGCGGCACATGTGTGGACGAGATGGATAAGCATCGCTTGTTTATATTTTATACGTACGGAGAGCTGTGTGTGTGTGTGCAGGGGCGGAACTACAGTGCCGCCAGACCCCGCAAAGTCTAGGGTGCTAATGTGCTAATGTGCCCACGTCTAGTGTAGGGTGCAAATGTGCTTCAAGTCTAGGGTGCTATTGTGCCCACGTCTAGTAAAGGGTGCTAATGGGCCCACGTCTAGTATAGGGTGCTAATGTGCTTCAAGTCTAGGGTGCTAATGTGCCCACGTCTAGTGTAGGGTGCTAATGTGCCACGTCTAGTGTAGGGTGCTAATGTGCTTCAAGTCTAGGGTGCTAATGTGCCCATGTCTAGTTAGGGGTGCTAATGTGCCCACGTCTAGTGTAGGGTGCTAATGTGCTTCAAGTCTATGGTGCTAATGTGCCCACGTCTAGTGTAGGGTGCTAATGTGCTGTGTGCACGTCTAGTGTAGGGTGCTAATGTGCCCAGGTCTAGTGTAGAGTGCTAATGTGCTGTGTGCACGTCTAGTGTAGGATGCTAATGTGCCCTTGTCTAGTTTAGGGTGCTAATGTGTCCACGTCTAGTGTATGGTGCTAATGTGCCCTCGTCTAGTGTAGGGTGCTAATGTGCCCTCGTCTAGTGTAGGGTGCTAATGTGCCCACGTCTAGTGTAGGGTTTCTAATGTGCCCACGTGGTAATGTGCTTCAAGTCTAGGGTGCTAACGTGACTTTCCGTCTAGTCATCCAACTGCCTAGCGTGAATTTATTCCAGACACTTGCGAAACACCCGACTAGAACTAAAATAAATCGACGTTGACGCCATTATATGAATTGACACACTTTGTAATAGCCTCCCCTTGTGGTTTCACAGAAACAAAACTGAGTTTTCTCCCATTAAAAAAACTCTCCGACGATTTATTGAAATACTTGAGATCTTTTTTAAATAGAGAGTTTTAAAATAAAATCGTTTTCTATTTACTAGGGTCGTTTTTCTTTATATTCTCACTGTTGTTTAGCCACAAACGAGCTTTATATGATAATTAAATATTGTGGGTAACGCCCTGAATTTTGTTAAGACTAGCATCGCGAAGAAAAAAGTCCAGCATTGAATTCATGTTTTATTTACTTTACTCGTGTGACCCATGCGATGTTGCTATGAAACTTTTCGTTCTGACGAAGGCCATTGTCCTAAATATCCCTTTATACTGAGGATTATAACGTGAGTTACTTTAAATAAATAAACTGTAATTCGCGTTGTTTAGTAATGTCAACAGAACACCACGAATAGTGGCTGAATTTAGTTGTGTCAATAGCCCAGCCCTAACAGTTCGTCTTCACCCTATTTATAGGACAAATATCTTCATCGATTACAGTATCAGTTGTATCGATTCAAACATCGATATATTTTTTCTACCGAATACGATATCAATGAAGCGCGGATGGTCTGTAATGTCTTTTGTTTTTAATAAAACCAAACCCTTTCTCCACCAGCAGTTGCCCCCCCCCCCACCCCACCAGTAGTCCCCCACCCCTTCTCCATAGTACCCCCCCCCCCCCCCACCTCAGTAGTTATGTTCTAAAACACGGCGCCTGTACTAAAAAAATCGAGTCGGGTTCTATGCTAGCGGTTTCCTAACAAGAATAAAAAAAAAATATTGATTAATTCTACGATAAATTTTTTTATCAAGCTAATTTAATTGAATTAAAAAATCAATGAACAACAGGACAGGGCCATTTAACAGAATGTGGTTCCCCGCCGGCACTGCTAGAGTTTTTTACTTGACTGTCAGGTGTTGCACCCCCCCCCCAGGTGCTGCACCCCCCCTCCCAGTCAGGTACTGCCCCCCCCCCCTCCCAGTCAGGTGTTGCACCCCCCCCTCCCAGTCAGGTGTTGCACCCCCCTTCCAATCAGGTGTAGCCCCCCCCCTCCCAGTCAGGTGTTGCACCCCCCCCCCCTCCCAGTCAGGTGTTGCACCCCCCTCCCAATCAGGTGCAGCCCCCCCCTCCCAGTCAGGTGTTGCACCCCCCCCTCCCAATCAGGTGTAGCCCCCCCCCTCCCAGTCAGGTGTTGCACCCCCCCCCCCTCCCAGTCAGGTGTTGCACCCCCCCCCTCCCAGTCAGGTGTTGCACCCCCCCCCCAGTCAGGTGTTGCACCCCCCCTCCCAGTCAGGTGTTGCACCCCCCCCTCCCAGTCAGGTGTTGCACCCCCCCCCCCTCCCAGTCAGGTGTTGCACCCCCCTCCCAGTCAGGTGTTGCACCCCCCCCCTCCCAGTCAGGTGTTGCACCCCCCTTCAGTCAGGTGTAGCACCCCCCCCCCCTCAGTCAGGTGTAGCACCCCCCCCCCCCCTCAGTCAGGTGTAGCACCCCCCCCCCCCCCTCAGTCAGGTGTAGCACCCCCCCGGTGCTGGCTCTCCCAGTCTAGGTCATCGTCTCTCCAAATCTGCCTGGGGTTCCAAAGGTTCTCAGCACCCTGTAGATCCTGTAGATCACACACATGGAGATCTTTACAACACAATCAGTCTTAAAGCTCTGAACCCAACAGCATAGGGAAGGTGAATCTGCAGGACATGGTCCCTCAGCACAGGTGCCACAGGATAAGTCCCTAAGCATATCTCCTTCAGCAAATGGTCCCTAAGCATAGGTCCCACAACATAAGGTCCTCCAACATTCCTATAGCACATGGTCCTAAATCAGGTCCAATGTTCGATGTCTTCTACAGCCCGTGGCCCTACAGCTCACGTAGGCTACATACAACAAACATGTTTTACTCACGTAGGCTACATACAACAAACATGTTTTACTCACGTAGGCTACATACAAACAAGTTTTACTCAAGTAGGCTACATAGAACAAACATGTTATCTCACCTACAAGAACAGAACCAACACCATGTCTGTATAGAAATTCTTTTTTATTTACAACAATCAGAGATTCAAAGTACATAACAATTTATTATAATAAATTATTTTATACACAAAATTAAAATTATTAGTAGTTGAATTTAACAGTTAATCATATTATAAATAAATGGAAAACAGGCGTATCTAAAGGCAATCATGTACCAATGAACTTATGTGACAACTTTATTACTTGTCCTGTTTGACCTGTTGTCATTGGAATGTCATAACACTATAGCTATATAGTCAAGTATAAATTATGTCCTCGTTATATCATGGATGTATTATCTTTCATCAGTTTTCTGTTTAATTATTTCTGGCTCTTCTGTAGATCTCATTTTTTTTAAATTCCAGGATCTGGTCAGGTTGTCTGCCCATTCAGCAACTTAATTGTCAAATCACAGTATTTTACCCATTAATTGTCCAATTATTTACCATTTAATTGTCAAATCACAGTTATCTAAATGTCCTTTCACAAAAACCTGCCCATTAAATATCTAATCACAGTTCCCTACCCATTAAATATCTAATCACAGTTCCCTGTCCATTAAATATCTAATCACAGTTCCCTTCCCATTAAATATTTAATCACAGTTCCCTGCCCATTAAATATCTAATCACAGTTCCCTGCCCATTAAATATCTAATCACAGTTCCCTGCCCATTAAATATCTAACCACAGTTCCCTGCCCCTTGAGCACCAAACCTTGTAAAGGACTAGGATATCACCAATGTAGGGTTACCAAATACAAAACAGCCTGGTCAAGCACACTTTAGAAAAGTTAACATGACAAATGTAACAAATGTAAAAGCACCACAACACCTGATATAATTTTAGGGCAATGGGAAAGATGTTATATCTCCCCCCCCCCCCACCACGCCCCTCATCATCCTGCCAATATTGCTTGCCAGGATGGATCAAGCCCCCCCCCCCTATATATCACCAGTAAGGTTCAAATCTCAACATGTTAAATGAAAAAATGCTGAAAAAAGTTACAAGAGAAAATTGTTTAATTGAAATAAACATTTTAAGTGTGAGCAAATTACTATACATTTGGAGCAAATTGAATTAGGGAGTCACAAAAATAACCCAATATCTGATCAGAATTAACATTTATCCATTCACTTTATATTCCAAAAACTTCAAAGATGAGAGGTCAACTAGGTTTCAAAACAATGTGGACAAGAAAAGGACAAACTAATGTTAAAAATTATTTCTGTAATGGTGCTACAAGTTTCAGGCAAGTGGGAACAAATTGAATGTAGGCAAGATTTGTAAGTTGTATGTACATGTGGGCATACAACAAGTTACATGTAAATAATACTCAAGTTACATGTACATGATGTTCAAGTTATGCAAATGAAAAGGAAATGTGTAAAGAAACATTAAAACATTTCAAGTCTGTTTGTATAAGAGAAATTGTCAACTGTACAACTTGAAATGGGGGAGGTTTTTTATGTAAGTACAGGCTTATACCAATACAGACTTGTACATGTAATATTAAGTGAAGGCCAGCTCATACAAACACTATAAAAATATGTTCAGTATTTCTGTATGTGTATGTAGACAGTCACAGACTTTGTACATATGAGAGAAAAATGTATATAAGACGCTTGGACAATATAAAAAATTACATCAAATAATAAATATTTGTTCCAATTATTTTAACATTTCTTATTCAAATATTTCAATTCATTAAGCATGTAATGCTTGTTTCCTTTAAGAAAATACAATTTGAATTTGAATAAATGAATAAATAAATATCAACAAATCTTGAAACTGTAGACGCAGCCACGCAGGTGTAGATTCACTAGACTCATGTCAAATTTTGTTTGTTGCCAGGCTGAAGAAACGCATCATATGGCACCTGTAAGGTGATGGAAGGTTGTCAGATTTTTTTAAAACGAAATTTTGTAAAAATATCAATTCAAAAAAGCTCTAAGTTGGTAATACGTTAGTTTTTTTTAAGAAAGCAGAAATCTCAGCTCAGGTAAATGTTTAGATAGAATTAAATATGAGCGTTTTAAAACTGTAGAAATCTCAATTCACTAAATCAGACTCACCTGTAGCAGGCTGGGTTTGGGTTTTCTGAAAGCACTTGGTGGTCTTTTGATGGCAGACGTGTTACCTTCAGGTACAGTCAGCGCTCTGTTGCTGGTCTGGGAGGGAGAAAGTTGGTGACACAGATTATATTTGGTATTACGTAAACACTCTGATGTGTGTACTGGTCAACATAGACTGTTTTACAAATACAATAACTAATTTTTTGTCTTTTATTTACTCTCAGTAAACACTCAGTTTACACTAAACTTGTATGTTTTGTTTGGTCAAAAGTAATAAAAAATGAATTCTTTTGTTAGAAATAATTTTTCATCTTTCCAGGAAGGAAAGAAAGAAGTGTAGCCTACTGATGGAGGCGGGAATAATTTACACTATTAGGTAGAGTTGTGACTTGAATACAAATGATCTATTTGAAATTTAAACACACATATAATTACACCACTACTAGCCTATGTTTATTCAACTACCTATGATTTCAGTAATCTGCGATAATTAAAAACTTGAGTGCTTATATTTCTAAAACAAGTCTTCTAAATATATGAGATAATTAGAAAGATTGAAAAGTCATTCTCCACAATAAATTTATTAACATAAAATGAAATATAAATTATATGTAAGATAGTTGGTCTAAGCAAATAGTTTATTGAAGTTAGGTTATTAATTATAAAAAACCTCATATCTAAAGATAAATAAAGTATTCTTATTCAAGAGTATTTAATACAAAGTTTTGGATAAAATAACTCTTCAGTTTTAAACAGCACTTGAGCCCCACCCTCCCACCAGACCAACCTTTAGAGGGGGTAAGGCCACAGGCATGGACTCCCTCCCTCCCCCCCCCCCCCCAGACCAACCTTTAGAGGGGGTAAGGCCACACACAGACCAACCTTTAGAGGGGGTAAGGCCACACACAGACCAACCTTTAGAGGGGGTAAGGCCACACACAGACCAACCTTTAGAGGGGGTAAGGCCACAGGCATGGACTCCGCTTTTGAAGTCAGCAGATCATTCTGTGGCTCTAGTTGAACAACATTTGTTACGGCTGGTTCCTCTGGTAAACTTTTTAATTTACCCTCATCAGCTTCCACCATTTTACTGTCAGGAACATTTCTAGGAACAACAACAGAATTCTAAACAGTTGATATTGTGTTATCTTACAAAAAGAAACTTACAAACACATTTTTAAAAAAATTAAAATGTTTAAAAAATACAAAATTGTGAAGTGATCAAGTGAGGCTAAAGAAAATCAACATTCCATAGTTATCATTGTTCATTGAAACAATCGATACATTATTAATTGATGAGGCTCTGTAATTTAAAATTTAATGAGTAGAACAGATCTACAGCTAGTTTTAACAAAAGACCTGATTTGATTTTTAAAATATTTTTAAATAATAAATTTATTGATCAATCTGCAATATTACAGTTACATTTTTCAATACACAATAGCAACATGAGCTATTTGTTATTTAATTAAAAATTTAAAACTTTCAATATTGCAAATGATTCTACAAAAATTTTAAAGTTTTAAAACATTCGCCAACAAAGCCAACAAAAAAGACAAAAATGTCCTAAAACAGATTAAATTATTAAAATGCTTACAACAAAAAAAAAAAACAACATTAAGCTTGCTTCATGCAAAAAATTTAACAGAAAACATGTAAGTATTTACTTTTCATAACCTGTTTGTATGCCTATGTCAAAGTTACCTGAAAACTTGCGCAGGTATTAACTAACCTTCGCAGGTATTAACTAACCTTCGCCTGAATGTATTTCCTGAACTCTGCTCTGACAAGACAGCTAGCTTAACAGGCTGGGGGCTGTCATCTAACAGGGGGATAACTCTATCAAACTGGTGATAACCTTCATCAGACAGGGAGACCACTCTATCAGCACAGTTACTGATTACATCCCTCATCTTGTATGTCACAAACTTTATTTTGGTCTCACCGTACCTGATCACAAACAAACGGTTAAATTTGGGGGCGTGTCTCTCTGGTAGAGGGAACTAAGTATGTGCATATTTTTAATTAAAGGCCATAACTCTAAGTTTTTTTTAACCCTATCCTAAAATTCTTCACTTATTTGATTCATTTGAGTCCTACTCCTGCATTAACACAATAATATGCTTCACATAAAGTGAATAGCAAGAAGCCAATAGATCTATATATATTGAAATTAATTTTTAAGAAGCAAGATATCCCCAGAATAAATTAATAAGTTATGCATTAAATCTTCAAGTTGTAAAGTAATTGTGTGAAATAAATAAAAGTGAACACAAAATTAGACTGAATTGATTTCCTGATTTAAAATTTGTAGAATAATCACTTTAAAATATTCCATTTAAAAAATGTTATATAACTGTTTGATGTTTTGAACAAAAAATATTCAATAAATTAATTACTTTTTAAAATAGTAATTTGCTAAGATTTAAAATAGTGAATTGCTAATATTTAACAGTCATTTTTTTTAAGCTTTAGCAATGTGAAAACAAAAAAACTGAATGTATTAATGTGAAGACAGGCAAGCAGTGAAAATATATTTTAAATACAGCTTTAATAGCTCAATAAAATGAAATAAATTAAAAGATAAATAGTATTTATTTTAGAATTGAAACATTTATATAAAATAAGAAAGCATTAGTTTAATTCAATGATTTTTCTTCTGCTTAAAAAGCTTTTTTTTTAAAAATGACAACATAATTCAATAAAGTTATGACATTAAAACATAATTTATACATAGGATAAAAAAATTCTCTCACTTGTTTACGTAGTACCAGGGTGTTGGGCCATCAGGCACGACCTTGTTAGAGCGCAGACACGTACACGTACGCTCCAGCCACTCCCTAAAGCAGAAGAACAAGACGAGGCCAACTAGCAGGATCAGGATTAGCAGACACACCAGGACAATCAGCAGCTTGAACAGCACTGGGTCTTCTGCTGTGGAGGCTCCCACCGCTGGCACTACAGGAAATTAAAAATTGTTACGTTAATTGAGTTCAGTTTTTTACCTAGTTTTAGGGTCTATATTTTTATTTAAAATTTTTAGTCAGAATTTTTTATGCTTGAAAAAATGTCTATTATTATTAAAATGTATAATAATATAATTATAATTTATTGTAAAGTTTGCTTTGATTCTATTTCAATAATGGTGTGCCATATTTCCTGAAATTAATTTTTAAAATTTATTTTATGCAATATTTTCAGTTGATAAAACTATTTAATAGAAATATTTATTTTTAAATTTTCCTTCCTTCAAATTTTAACTTTTAAAATGGTCACAGAAATGTCAGGTAAACATGTAATAATCATAGACGTCTTAGAACTAGATTGAACACTTTAAAACTACGTAACTCCAGAACTAAAGAGTGAAGGCTTACATGCATCTGGCAGGGAGGTCACTTGTGTTGTGGTTGGGTAGGTCACTTGTGTTGTGGTCGGGTTTTCTTTAAACAAAAAAATTTTATAAAAAAAAAGACATGAATGCTGAGCATTTTAAAAATTATTACATTTTTCCTAAAATTTTATTGGCGCACCATAAGCTTTTAAGTATCAAATTACTTAAATTGATTGTTGCATAAATCATTATTCTAGGCCTATATTGGCCTAAATGAAATAAATATCAATTATTACATAGATTTATAAGCTAATAACAGTTCATTAAAGTGACTTGTTATGTAATATCAAAATACGTAATATCTAAATATTTATTCATGTAGGCTTGCCGTACCTGAACATGCAGCACGTACGTCGCCACTTGACCCAGTTGTTGATGACGTATAGCTGCAGGCATCACAGAACAGTTGACCGCCAGAGCTGGAGTAGAACCCAGATGGACATGACTGGCAGTCTCCAAGTGTCTCGTTATAAAAGTTTCCTTCTGGACAAAAGTCTTTTGGTTGCAGAAAAATAAAAAAAAAGGAAACTTTAAAGACCCTGCCATAGACCAACCATTGGTTGAAATATTTTCCTAAAATGTAAACAGAAGGAAAAATTGGTTCAAATTGGGGATACTTTTTGTGTGCAATGACAACTACAGATTTTAAACACACAAACTATAGATCACTTGGTAATGTATTCACGAAATGTGACATTTATTTTAGCACAACCTAGAGCTCAAAACTGTGCAATAGAAGCCTAATTTGTAGTTTTATCAAAGAAAATCATTTACTTATGGCACACTTCTAATATTATTTAGGCTTACTACTTCACACAAAAAACACATTACTACTGCAATCAAATAACACACGACAACACATGTATACTAAACAAATATATACTAAACACATAATTATATACTAAACACATATATACTATACTAAACACATGCTACGCTACTAAACACATGGCACAGCTACACACTACTGATCCAATTTACAGTCTGAGTTAAGCTACATATTGCAAAACAACACAGATGAGACACATTACACACTGACTATAGCAGTCTGTGAGTGAATGTCCCCCCTCCTCTCCCCCCACTCACTGTAGCAGTCTGCCTGTGAATGTGTCCCCACGTGGCTTGTGGTTGTCCCAGCAGGACAACTCTGGCACCTGTTGTCCTCCGCTGTACCTGTGGTACCTGTGCTCCCCAGGTAGGACCCTCTAGGACAGGCTACACACATCTTCCTGTCTGTGTCGTAGTAGTATCCCAGGCCACACTCAGCTGTGGGGAGCAAAAGATCTTTTAACAGTGTGAGACATTTTCCCATTATCTTATAAGCCTACATCTTCTTCTACGTTCTTAATTTTAGTATTGGAAGGGATTCCCCCCAACAAAATTAAGTATTGTATGTCAACTTCTCATGCATTATATATTTCAGCCTGCTTTTCTTTTTGGCTGTGCTTCCATAGCCTTTATCCAACCATATATCTTTTAACAGTGTGAGACATTTTACCATTATCTTATAGGCCTACATCTTCTTCTACGTTCTTAATTTTAGTATTGGAAGAGAGTCCCCCCCAACAAAATTAAGTATTGTATGTCAACTTCTCATGCATTATATATTTCAGCCTGCTTTTCTTTTTGGATTTGCCTCCATAGCCTTTGTTCAACCAAGAACAAACTACAAGACAGCAGTTATTTGATTTTGGAGTTGTCTCTCTTAGAAGAGTTGCTGTCCCCAGCTATCAAGCCTCATCTGTTCGAGGGTTCAAACTTGTGACATTTCAGTTTAGCAACCATGAGCTTTACTGACTCGACCACACTGACCTAGGGCTACATATTTTATGAAAATGTACAAGTTTTTTCATAAAATTATCCAATAAATTTATAGGCATGAAGCGGATGTATCTTTCAACAGAAAAATCTAGTAGGTCTACTAAACAATCTACACCAAAACTTAACTCACTAACTATTTTTACTGCAAATATAAGCTATAATTTTATGTTACTCTTTTCTTAACTCTCAAACTTGTTTGTGACTGAAAATATTAGTTATTACTACTAGATCTATTAGGCCTTATTAAAAAATGAAATGTATTAATAATTCTTAAAATAATTTTAAACTTACAAAGCATGGAGTAAAGAGGTAAAAAGAAGAGAAATTTATTAACATATTGATAATAAGCAACAAACAGAGCTAACATATTTAAAAGAATGAAGTGCTAGAAATACAATACATCTTATGTAGACATTACCACAGCAGTTTCCTATTAGCACTGTCCCGTTTAAACAACTTGAGACAGGAGAGATAACCAGGGACTGTACATCTGGAGTAGCTTGCCCCTGGTAGAGAGAATACAAACATAAGCCTACAGGTTTTATAAAAAAAGACAACAGTACTAAATGTTACAGATTAAATGTTAAAACATATTTTGTGTTAAAAAAGTAATTGAACTACTAGATTTAAATCCTGTTAGGGCTACAGTTTTATATTTAAACAAACAAATAAAAATCAAACAATAGGCTTTATAATCTCAAGAAGAATCCAAGACTTTCTATTTTTTTTTTAAAACCTCAAACTTACACTATAAGTGAAGGAGCCATCATCAACAAATGCTGCAGTAATTAATTGTTCCACATCCTGAGTTAATGGCCCATCAAACTTTTTTAGAGGCGAGCTAAGATTGTTGTGAAAGTAATTACAAAATTAAGTTTAAATTTCTTTAAAGAAATTATTTGATAAATCATTTAAAAATGCAACTTAACCCTTTAAACCCTGGCCTCCCTGGCCTAATTTCTTCCATTTCCTGAGCTCCCAGGCCCAAACCAAATTTCACTTATCTGCTTCTAACTTTGCCTATAACTTTTGAACCATTTGAGATAGTGACAAAACCAGAGTAACTCACCTATTTACTGTTATTATAATAACCGAATAATAAAATAATGTAAAATAACCAATTTTTTTTTGTTGACATTGTATTTTACAAAATGCAAACACTTTCAACTATCCTCAAAATCTATTTTTAGAATGATAACCCCTCGGTAAAAAGACATGTGCGCCATTTTATTCAGTATACCGCTAATTATATTTACGACGGTATACCAGCCACTATGACTATGACGCTAGATCACTGGGCCAGAAAACTGGCTTTTCGGACATATATGCCTAATTTTGAAGCCGGTTTTCCGGCTTGTCTGGGTCAAAGGGTTAATAAAACTTTGCCAATTCTAATGGACAAAAATTAATGTAAAAGGTTAGGCACAGGAGGGAATTAACTCTTGGACACAGAAGGGAATTAACCCTTAATCACAGAAGGGAATTAACTCTTAAGCACAGGAGGGAAGTAACTCTTAAGCACAGAAGGGAATTGACTCTTACACAAAGAAGGGAATTAACTCTCACCTAACAGAAGTGAGTTTCCATGTAACATGGCCACCATAAGCTTGAGTACAGTCTACTGTTACAATGGTGTTCTGACAGGGATTTGAACCACAGACACCAGGCCATACAGCCTGCAGGTCTACCAGTGAGGTGAGAATTTGTTGAGGTAGAGACGAGCACACTGAGGTGTTGTAAAAATAGTAGAACACCTGGATGATGTAGTCTTTCAATGGTGGGGAGCAGACTGGAAAACATTTGAACATTTTAGTCTTGAATACATATTTATGTTTTGTTTACATCAACTTTTTCAACATTGCATTTTTTACAAATATTTTATACTTTTCCAAAATATTTATTTCTTTGATTTACTGTGACCTTTTCAATTTATTTTTTATTGTTCTGGTAAGTGTTCTGTTTGAACCAATGGTTCATTGAATCCATCACATACAGGGAAAGCGTGGGCACCTTTACTTCTCCCCAACAGGCAACTAGAGCTAGGTTCTCATTAGAGCTGGCTGAACTCAGTGATATCTTACAGATCTAAACCTTTTGGGTTAGTAATAGAATGCTCTACCACTCCACACCAATGATATTAAAAAGATTCCCTTTTATACCTAGCGATTTATTGGGAGATGAAGTAGAGTTAACATGTTTTTAGTCACATGAAATCATGGTGTTGTCAGCACTAAGCTCATCTGCCTTTACTTTTCCCAACCTAAGTCAGTTACGCAACAGCGCTGGGTGGACTCAGGGACATCCTACAGTCACATGTTCAAACCGAGATCCAAACGATAGACTTTACTAGCAGCTAAACTATCAATGATTACTACATTCTTCACTAATACAAAACTAGGCAATGGCTTTGATAAATTACCACCATTAACATGTTAAATGTGCACAGTTTTCTCTAACTAAGCAAAAATTTATTTTAAATCCTCTATTACATCTATATTCAAACATTTAGTTAAAACTAATTCACAAAGTTTTCTATTTTCATCAGTGGCGTAGCCAGGATCGTCTCAAGGGGGGGTTCCAATTTTTACCCAGGGACAAACTTTCGATTTGCAACCCCCCTCAAACTTTTGATTTGCACCCCCCTCATACTTTATATATATACCGAGGGGTCTATGGGGGGGTTATGACCACCCCTAACCCCCCCTGCCTATGCCACTGATTTTCATCCTACAGCTGTACCTACCTGAGCAGGACGGATATTCAAAGCGCAGGATCCTCTCCAGGGAGTCAAACATGCCTGACGTGCCACAGCTGTAGTACCGCGGTGCCTCCGCGGACAGCTTCAGCCCGCTGTTACACTCCACCGTACAGCGCAGGCTGTTGTTGACCTGCACACACACCTGCATCTGGTTTGGTTCTGTCACAGGCCGCAGGCAGGGTTTACCTGTCAGGTGTAAACAAAATTGTGTTTAAAGCTAGTTTGTAGAGAGCTGGTTTAGTATTCAAATGTTGGCTTTGTTACTGTCATAATGAACATCTGACATTTTGTTCAGTCACAGGCGGCAGGTAGGGTTTACCTGTCAGGTGTCAAAAGTTGTGGTTTTTGCTGTCAGGTGTCAAAAGTTGTGGTTATTGCTGTCAGGTGTCAAAAGTTGTGGTTTTTGCTGTCAGGTGTCAAAAGTTGTGGTTATTGCTGTCAGGTGTCAAAAGTTGTGGTTATTGCTAGTTGCTTGTACAAGTCAGAGTGGGTTCAGTATTCAAATGTTTAATTTGTTACTGTTATAATGAAAATCTGGCATTTTGTTCATGTGTTAACACTGCAATCGTTCACTTTCTTTACCTAAATTGTTTCAGGATGATATAATTACTATTGTCTTAATATATAAAAGCACATGTGCGCACTTCTCTCTCTCTGTTTGCAAAATATTTTTGCAGGATATCACATAATCTTCAGTGATATATGGAGAACTTGATTTGGACTTTGGTTGAAAAAAATATGGTAGATGTTTTAAATGTATAAACAAAATTTTATTTTAAGAAGAAAAATAAAAAATAAAGGCATATTCAAAAGTAGAAAAACAGTTTTAATTATGTAACACGAAAAGTGTTTATAGTTGGAACAAGAAAGCAGAAATTGATGACGCCACATGGAAGTGGTGATGTGGTAAAGCGAAACCTACGTCTGTTGAAAATCTTGAATGATGGAAGTCGTGATGTGATAAAATTTTAAAAAACCTACGTCTGTTGAAAATCTTTAATGATGGAAGTGTTGATGCGATAAAAAAAAAACCTACGTCTGTTGAAAATCTTGAATGATGGAAATCGTGATTTGATAAAATAAAAAAACCTACGTCTGTTGAAAATCTTGAATGATGGAAGTTGTGATAAAATAAAAAAAAAACCTACGCCTGTTAAAAATCTTGAATGAGGAAGTTGTGATAAAATAAAAACCTACGTCTGTTGAAAATCTTGAATGATGGAAGACGTGATGTGATAAAATAAAACAAAACCTACGTCTGTTGAAAATCTTGAATGATGTAAGTCTTGATGCGATAAAATAAAAAACCTACGTCTGTTGAAAATCTTGAATGATGTAAGTCTTGATGCGATAAAATAAAAAAACCTACGTCTGTTGAAAATCTTGAATGATGTAAGTCTTGATGCGATAAAATAAAAAAACCTACGTCTGTTGAAAATCTTGAATGATGTTAAGTCTTGATGCGATAAAATAAAAAAACCTACGTCTGTTGAAAATCTTGAATGATGTAAGTCTTGATGCGATAAAATAAAAAAACCTACGTCTGTTGAAAATCTTGAATGATGTAAGTCTTGATGCGATAAAATAAAAAAACCTACGTCTGTTGAAAATCTTGAATGATGTAAGTCTTGATGCGATAAAATAAAAAAACCTACGTCTGTTGAAAATCTTGAATGATGTTAAGTCTTGATGCGATAAAATAAAAAAACCTACGTCTGTTGAAAATCTTGAATGATGTAAGTCTTGATGCGATAAAATAAAAAAACCTACGTCTGTTGAAAATCTTGAATGATGTAAGTCTTGATGCGATAAAATAAAAAAACCTACGTCTGTTGAAAATCTTGAATGATGTAAGTCTTGATGCGATAAAATAAAAAAACCTACGTCTGTTGAAAATCTTGAATGATGTTAAGTCTTGATGCGATAAAATAAAAAAACCTACGTCTGTTGAAAATCTTGAATGATGTAAGTCTTGATGCGATAAAATAAAAAAACCTACGTCTGTTGAAAATCTTGAATGATGTAAGTCTTGATGCGATAAAATAAAAAAACCTACGTCTGTTGAAAATCTTGAATGATGGAAGTCGTGATGCGATAAAATTTAAAAAAAAAACCTACGTCTGTTGAAAATCTTGAATGATGTAAGTCTTGATGCGATAAAATAAAAAAACCTACGTCTGTTGAAAATCTTGAATGATGGAAGTCGTGATGCGATAAAATTTAAAAAAAAAACCTACGTCTGTTGAAAATCTTGAACGAGCACAGGTCAGTGCTACCCTGCAGGTCAAACATGGCGTAGGTGGCAGCGTAAGCTCCCCACTCCATCTGTGTCTCACCAGACACCAGCGTGGTCAGCTCACTTGTGCTGCCGTTAGACGGTGGCGCCACTGGTGTGGTCCATGTAGGGGAGCTCACTCTCTCTGATATTAGCATTTGGTCTTTTGGACAGGAGATAAACTTTGGGAAACCTGAAAGAAAAACATCAAAATAAATTAATATTTTTCTAGAACTTGATAAACATTAAGATTAATTATTGAACTTACCATAAATATTTTAAAGAAATAAAAAAGTATTGTTTAAATCTCAAAATAAATTAATATTTTTCTAGAACTTGATAAACATAAAGTAGATCAATCATTAAACTTATAGTAACTATTCTAAAGAAATAAAAGTAATTATTGTTTAAATCTCAAATTAAATTGTTAGAAAGTAAATGATGTTGACAGTGACAACTGCTTTAAAAAATTTATTAAAAATTTACAAAAAACATTCACAAAATTTAAAAAGAATTGTAAAGAAACTTTAAGTGCCATTTTTGTAAATATTTCTTTAAAATTTCTTTAAAATTAAAATGTTTAAGAAAACGAAGAACAAAATGTTTCTATTACTTTGGTTGAGACTTTTGCAAGAAGAAGCTGTGAGGCACAGCCCAGACGTCAGCTCACTGTTAAAATCCACAGGGGCAGCAGTCCCCATTGCCATGGCAACTGTAAAACCAAACAGCACCCCCTTAGGGACAGCTGTTTTGTTGGTGTAAAGTTCCACCAGTTCTGCTGCTGTCAGTGCCTGGTCCACAACAAATACGCGGCTGAGCCTGCCTGTCATGCCATTTGTGTGGTCCAGTGTGTTGGAGGTTTTACTGTAGACACCTCCAAGTACAAGCCAACAGCTAGAACACAGATAATACAAAATGTAAGTCTATAGTTGTGTGGTTCGCTATTTTGAAGGTTTTACTGTAGACACCTACGCAGCTAGAACAGAGATAAGTAGAAAAGAAAATGTAAGTCTATATATTATTGTGATCCACTATATTGAAGGTTTACTGTAGACACTTTCAAATAGAAGAAAACCGTTAGAGCAAAGAAAATACAGATTGTACAAAGTGTATGTCCAGTCTATATACACATCATTTAATTTTCTGTGGCACAAGAAGTAGATGTGCAATAAGCTCTCCCACTTCTCATGACAAAATTTTATTCCAGTATTCAAAATATAAATTAAGTTGTACAGAAAACATAAAAGATTTATGTAAAAGCAATGTGATGAAATATTTCTTTAATCCTTGATAACTTTCATGATACCAGATACCCAAACTAATTCAAACCAACTTACAACGTGTTGATTGGTTGATCCTTGGCGTAACTGCTGATCTCTGCCACCAGCTGACCATCAACATACAACACCACAGTCCCTGTAGACTTGCTCCAAGACAGACCAACATGGTGCCACACTCCATCATTCAGAGTTTTGTTGTATGAAAGGACTCTTGTCCCACCAAACCCCAACACAGCCTGGTTGACCTCTAACCTCAGCAGGTCAGTGCTGTCAGAGAAGTTGCTTTCTGGGCTGGATACAGAGTTCAAAAGATGGAAGAAAACAACAACACAAATACATTGTTATTAATAGTTTCTTGTGTAATGTCATTTTAATTTGGGTAAACATATATGGACCCTATAAACAACAACACAAACTCATTTTTATCAATCTTTTCTTGTTTGATTTTAATTTTTTTATTTGGGTAAACCATATATGGACGCTGCACTTTGTCAGTCAGAATTGAACATGGAACAAAGATACGTTTGTATTATAGGGTCATAAATTAATGTATGAGCACCCTTTTTTACTCTTATACCATCTTTGATAGCTCAATCTTTCTCATTAGCCAGGCAGACTGGAATAGGGTTTAAAAATTGAGCATCTCTTCCTAGGCTTTTGATTCCAACCATACATGGCACTAACTGGTTTGGCCATGGGGGGTAGTTTGATCAAAGAAAGGCCTATGGTCTCAAACTCATGACTTTCAGGTTAGTAAGCGTATGTTATACAACTAGACCAAGCCTATAATGTATGGACTAAAAACTTCAGTTTTACAGTAGGCCTACATTGAGTGACTTACCCGAGGCCGTAGAGTGAGAGTATGACCCCAGGGGTCACTGCCCTGGTGTACCTGACCCAGACACTGCAGGAGAGAGCTGAGCTGTTGATTGGCTGGACCAGCTGCTGGTAGTCTGTGTCCTGGTAGGTCAACTCAGGCATGACCAGGACATCAAACTCATGGGAGACAACTAAAGAAACAAAATACACATTTTTTACAGAGTAGAAGAAATTCATTTATCTATAACCAAAAAAGTTTTCCAACATGTAAGGTAGTTCAAAACTAGTTAAGTAGTTCATTTTCATTGTGAAAACAATTTAAAATCATACAATAAAATATATCTGAGTAGCCAAGAATTAAAAAAAAAAATTCACTTAGTAAACAAAATGATGAAGTTATTATTAAATTACATTCTTAAATAGTTTAGAAGTATGATTAAAAATAATCTTCCACTGAAAATATATATGAAAATGAAAAAAACTATAAACAATAACAATTTCAAATTTATCTGCTACAGCACATTTCACATTTAGTTTATAGGGAAATGGCAAAAGGGGCAAAAAAGCTTAACCCTTTATCTACTGACGGTACTTATAAGTACCACTTTAATTAAGTGCCTGTATTATATTAAATTAAATACGAATTTTAAAAATTATTGATGTATTTTATAGTATTATCTCCCCCGAGTCGCCGGTAGTCAGAGGTATCAATGTTTTTAAAAAAAATTAATGGTGTGGCGCTTTTTCAATGTCTTGCTATATCGGTAGTTCACAATTTTTCTGTACATTTCTCACACCCGTTCCTGATTTCCTTTTGTTTTACCTTATTTTTCAAGTTTTCAACCCCAAATATTTTTTATTGGCACCTTCAATAGTCAGGCAAACGCGTTTAACTTCTAGTTATACAATTTTAATCAAATTGTCTTTGTATTAGATCGATGTTTACAAGTGGACTTATAAGTACCGTCAGATCACACGGTCATTTTTTTTGGATTTTTAGAAAATTGCAGATTTGTTAGGTGGAGTTACATAAATATTGTCTTGATAATTACTTATCGAAATGTACTCAAAAAATGATATTTACACATTTATAAGAAGGTTTGCATATGGTTTACCTAAGAAATATTGTAATTACATGTTCATTTCTAGTAGTAAAAAAAAACAAAAATAAAGGTATTAGTTGCAGGCTCGTTTATAAGGTTTAGTATACTTCATTTGTATACCAAAGCCTAGTTCAGGTTGTAAGATTTAATTTGTTAGTTATATTTACTGCAATGAACTGTCTTGCCTACAACAACAAGCATTTACGTAATGTATACCTGTAGACTAGTTATAGTCCATACTTCTGTATATAGTATAGATCTATAAGGTAAATTTTAATCAGTAAACAGAAAAGAGTAATCCACTACTTCTTCCAAAACACATTGAGCTCACTTCTATTTATGAACTTTGCACTGTAGTGTAGACTTGTCATAACATTATAGTAGGCTACAATTATATTAGTATTTCTAGTAGTTGTGTGCTGAATGACTAGGCTTTTGTTTGTTTATGCGGCTCATTGTACTAGTTATTGGAAGCTTCCAGCAAAAGCATATTCATTCCGGCAACCGTTGCAACACTAGAAAGACCACAGACAAGATTGAGGGAGCATGACATGTCGACTACTTTTGCTGTGTTTGAGGTCTAAGATGTGTTCCGATAGAAAATCCAGTAAAAATCGTACTCAAAATATACTTTTGTGCTGTATTTATGTGTGAAAATTACAATAAGTGATTGTTATAATGATTGCCATGTTATTAGTTAATAAATTGTATCGTTTGTTCCTGTTTTGTAAAAAAAAAATTTTTTGAAAAAAAATGTCCTACTTTACTGACGGTACTTATAAGTACCAATATCTGTTTGGGCCATTAAAAATTTATAAAACGAAATTTCCTTCGATATATGCTTTGAATGTGCCAAAAGCAATATAGTAACACATTGTTTAAGTAAAAATCTCATTCAGAACATAATTCCGTAAATAAAGGGTTAAACCTTGATGTAATGTCTATATTTAGTAAAACAATCTCGGGCAGATGAGGCTCGTTAGCTGGGGACAGCCACTCATCTAGGAGAGACAACTCCAAAATTAAACAACTGCTGCCTTGTAGTTTGTTCTTGGTTGGACAAAGGCTATGGAAGCAAATCCAAAAAGAAAAGCAGGCTGAAATCTGAGTCAATGGCCTCAATGGCGCATAACCAGTTGACACGTAACGCTTAATTGTGTTGAAGGCGTGGTCGAGTCGGCAAAAAGCTCATGGTTGATAAATTCGAACAAAGTCTCGAGTTCAAACCCACTGGCAGATAAATCTCGATTCCCTTCAACACCAATAATTAAGAACGAAGAAGAAGAAGAAAGAAGTAAAACAATTTTCTTCAACGATTGTTTTAAACTGTAGAACACCTTACAGGTATGAATGGTTTACCTTTGTTACAATCTGCCCCCATCATGTTCCCCCCACACAGACAGGTTGGTCCAGGGAGACTTGTGTTACATGAGGGGTCTGATGGACAGGTGGTGACCGCACACAGGTTGATTCTCTTCTCACACTGGTCTCCTTCAAAACCTGCAACAATCAATACATTTTTATTTAATTAGTCTGGTCTGAAATTAGATTCAAGTAACTTCAAATGCTTAACAATGCAACACAACTCCAGAATATATTAATAAACAGATGTTTTTATGAAAAGAATTTGAGATGATTCTCTAACAACACATTGAAGATTCTGATGAACACTCAACTTCTAGCATGAAATTCTTATAATATTAGGCTTGAGTCTAGTGGACAAAAGGTGTACTCTCTAGATCTGGTACTTAAAGATAACCATACTGTCAAGAAAAGTTAAGGCTAGCGTCATAATCCTACTCTACTTCGCCCACCCATCTGGATAATATAAGCTGATGTATAACAATTTATACCATTTCTTAATGAAATCCTGTTTTCCAATAACAGATTGATTTATAAAACAAGAGTCAACAGGAAAACTTACCTTGAGCACATTTGGAGCAGGTAAAAAACTTACCTTGAGCACAATGACATGTCAGACCAGATGACGTCACAACACAGGTGCCACCATTGGAGCAGGATGTTGGTGAGCACACAATGTCCTCAATCTCACAGAAGGTCCCGTTGCGGCCTGTAAAAAGTTCAATCATACACTCACACATTTTTTAGTATTGGATGCTGATGTTTACCTTTAGAACACTTTAAATTTAAAGTTGATCCAGGATTTACGTTTTCGATTTAGAAAATCAAAAATCAAAATTAATATAATATTTAAAAAGTAGCAAACTAATAAGTTCAAGCGCAGCAGCTAATTTCAAGACAACACCTCACCAGGTCCACAGGAGCAGGTAATGGTCCCATTTGTAAAGCTACACTGGCTCCCTGCCCCCACACAGGGGTTCACTAAATCACACATGCTGTACTTGGTCTCACATCTGTTGCCATAGTAACCAGACAAGCAGGAACACCTGTAGCCCAGGTTGTAGCTGAGGCAGGAGCCCCCATTGAGACAGGGGGATGGCTGGCAGTGGTCAAGCTCCGTGCTGCAGTTGGTGCCGGTGTAGCTGCGGCCACACTGGCAGGTGTAGGAGTTGGACAGCTGGACACAGGTGCCGCCATGACGGCAGGGGTATGACTGGCACAGGATGTCTGATACCTTCAGAGTTAGAGCGGCAGGATGAAAATATCAATACTATCACAGCAATGATAAAAAAGTAGTTTATCCAGTATTCACAGCGCATCCTTAATCAACCCAATGATTAGGCTTACTATCTAGGTCTACATTAACTGAGACAATTTACTAATTTACTTGTTATATAGCCTGCATAAAAACACTAGTATTAGAATACAATATAGTTCCAAGGTTTTTTCCTCAGTGTGGGTCTATAAATTTGTAGCCAGGTTAGGTTTAGTTTAGTGATAGTCCCCTACTTGCAAAAATGGGAGCAGGACATTCCCCCCCCCCCCCTTCAGCAGATTCATTAAACATTTTAAGGTATTTTTTTTTTTATTGGTCACGTTTATTTTATCACTTCTCATGAAAATTAAAAACTTGTTTATTAAGACTTCTGAATTGTAAGGTAGTAAAACAAGGTTTAGTTTAGGACAAAGTTGCTTTAGTAAAGGAATTTTTCTTTCATTTTTATATAGGGCCTACAGTCCAAAATTCTTTACCTTAATTAAATTATAGTAAAGTAAAATAAAAAAAGAAAAAAAGTTTTGTTAAAACCAAGTTCCATGTTTTCAACATACCGAGCAGTTCTTGCCATAGTACCCTGGGTCACACACACAAGTGTAGTCCCTGTACAAATCTGTGCAGCTGCTGTGGTTGGCATTACACGGGTTGGTGCTGGGTTGGCAGATGTTGTAGCTGTCTGTACAGGTGGCTCCTAGATTTCAAACCATAGACAGTTTTATTATTGCTTTCTTGAACATTAATTTAAAAATTCTTACAATGAACAAAAAAAAAAAAAGATTAATAATAATGTCACGACTTATTTTAAAACTGAGATTCATGTTTATTGTAAAATTTAACTCCCATTTTAATTTTTTTATAAATTTAATAAAAATATGGCCATCTCTAGAATTTGATATAACAAAAAATGGGAAATACCGGAAGTGTCAGCAGGACAGCGGCAAATAAATTTATCTCCAGACTGGGGTGGTGGGTCAAGGTCAGTGCAGTTTCCTCCATTCTGGCAGGGGTTGGGGTCACAGTCGTTGATGTTGTGTTGACAGTTGGCACCCTCATAACCTGTGGGGAGTTAGACAATAAAATTTATTCAACACTTGTATAGTTGCACAATTAGTTAAACTGATCACATAGCCAGATAGACGATAAAATAATATTGGCAAAAGTACAGAGCCAGTTAGACAAAAATATAATTTGAGAACCTTCATAACCTCTAATATAAAAGCAGTTGTAGAATGCAATAATAAATCCTCAGTTTACATAACATTTGATAGCTAAATAAATATTAATTTGTTACTTGAGTGATGTATGAGCAACCCCTAACAAAGAAATACAAGATGTATACCTTGTGGACAGGTACAAGTGTACGAGTCACCAACTTTGGTACAGTTTCCTCCATGTTGGCACTGACTGGGGTTGCAGGCATCTTCTTTGATTACACAGCTGCCATTGTCTACAAGAAAAGTTGGGTGAATCAGGGAACATATTTATTACACTGCTTTTACACTTGCCAGATGTATAGGAAGAAAGTCTTCGCAAAATTACACCTATGGCAAAGAATGTGTATAGAAAAACAGAGCATTGAATATAATAACACTGTTGAGGTATTAGGACCTCTAGGTTTGTAATATTTAACATTTATGCATTAAATGTCAAATTGCTGATTACACAATCAAAAATTAAGCCCTACTTACTGTCTTTTACAAATCCATCCTGGCATATACACGCCACCTGATTGGTCAGGTAATTGTCCACACAATGACCGAAACCTGGGCATGTGTTTGGATTACATCTGCTGACATACACCTCACAGAAGTTTCCAGAAAAACTTCCATTACAGACACAGGACAGAGTGGCGCCTACCCCATCAATACAAGTTCCATTGTTCTTACATGTACTTGGCTGGCAGTAATCTGGTTGGAATAACACAGGTCAAATTTGACATCAAATTCAAATAGTCTTTTTTTTTCCAGTGTTTAAATTAAAACTATTGCTTTTGGCTTAAATATATTAATATTGATATTTATAATATATTATTTTGTTAAATGCAGCAATAAAATCAAATAATATCTGTGAATTTTGGAAGTTTGAAACAGCCTATCTGCCCTCACCAATATCAATTTCACATGAGTCTCCAGAAAAACCTGGCAAACATCTGCACACTCTGGTGACGTTGGCGTATGCCTCACATGTTGCTCCGTTCTTGCATGGGTTCAAATCACATGGCCGTTTGGGTTTGGTGCAGCTGATGGGGAATTGTTTCAACATTATTTCACAATTTTAGCAATAGCACAGATTTACATTGACTGACTTAGCAGTGAACTGGACATATAATGTAGAGTTTATCTATTTGTGTCACCTTAGCAAATAAAGGGATACTGTGGTCAGTTTTATGTCCAGCCAGGGGCGTAGCAAGGGGGGGGGGGGCGGGGGGTGCGGACCGCACCGGGTGACACCATTTAGGGGGGTGACACCAAGGCAAAAAATAGCAAAATATATAGAGAAAAACTTGAGGGGGGGTGCAAATTGAAAGTTTGAGGGGGGGGGGTGCAAATCGAAAATTTGAAAGTTTGTCCCTGGGAAGGGTCTCTATGCCTCTGGGGGGGGTGACACCATTAAGTGCCGCACCGGGTGACACCCAACCTCGCTACGCCACTGTGTCCAGCCATATTACTTTCCCTTAGGTGAGTCAGGTGCTCATGAGGTTTGAGTGGACTTGGGGACAACCTATGGACTCTAGTCCAGGATCTAAACTCATGGACTCTAGTCCAGGATCTAAACTCATGGACTCTACCATCAGACCAGGCTAGCCCATCCTACCAGGCTAATATCACATGTAACTCTTGGTAAGTGGAGATCTATTCAACACCAATAGCAATCACTGCTATGGCTAAGTCAGCAGTTTGGTTTGTTGTGTGATCTTTGAGTAGAAATACAAAACAATTGAAAAATAAAATAGTTTTCTCTGAGCTGCTGTACTCACTCATTTAAAGATGTGTTGTCTGGGTAGGTGTACTGGCTGTAAGATGGACACATGCAGTTGTAGCTGGACACACCCGTTTGGCATTTCCCATAATTGTGACACGGGTTGTTCAAACACGCTGTGTTGTTGTTGACCTCACAGTTGACCCCAGACAAGTGCCCATCTAGTCCAGGATAGAAACACACACAAGTAGGAAAATATGTTTACAAACAAGTGCCCATCTAGTCCAGGATAGAAACACACACAAGTAGGAAAATATGTTTACAAACAAGTGCCCATCTAGTCCAGGATAGAAATACACACAAGTAGGAAAATATGTTTACAAACAAGTGCCCATCTAGTCCAGGATAGAAACACACACAAGTAGGAAAATATGTTTACAAACAAGTGCCCATCTAGTCCAGGATAGAAACACTCACAAGTAGGAAAATATGTTTACAAACAGGCAAGTCAGACATTATTGGCAGTGTCATTAAGTTATGGTGAACTATTAAAACAGCAGAAGATGAGATACTGTGATGGCAATATTTGTTTATGCTGGAAGCATCTATAAAGCTAATTCAGATTTAATAGCCTTTATTTTCGTTCAGCAAAATAATCTTTTTCTAAGTAGGTTATGTGCGTAACTAGGAGACTTATGCCAACAGACTTATGTGGACAGTCACATGAAATTGACCATAGACTTACATGGACAGTCACACCTGTATGTTGTTGTACCGGTCACCACGCAGGTTGCGTTGTTGAAGCAGGGTTGTGAGGTGCAAGGACTGGTGTAGAGTTCACAGTTTCTCCCTGAGTAGCCTGGGATACATTTAAACATCAGGGTAAAGTAAGTTCACACTGTGAAATTTACCAACAACCATGGCACAGCTAACAATAGAAAATATGTGTCTATAAAAGTGATATGGTTACAGTTTGTGAGTTTGATTCTAAACTATAATACAGTTAACAAACAACATATAACATAGCCTACATCATAGCAATGATTTAGTTAAATATACTTAGGTAAGCATACATTATTTTAGAAGGTGAGTATCTTAAAAATTAATTGTAAGTGGATAAGCAATCATAATGATGAATGTGCAAATTAGAATAGACATTACCTTTAACACATTGACAAAAAAATTATATTAGACTTCACATTACCTTTTATACACAGACAAAAAAAATATATTAAACTTGACATTACCTTTAACACATTGACAAAAAAATATATTTTAAACTTGACATTACCATTGATACACTGACAAAAAAAATATATTAAACTTGACATTACCTTTAACACATTGACAAAAATAATCATGGCCAGCAACTAGACAGGTTCCACCATTTTGACACTTGGATGTATCACACAACAGGGGAGCTAACAAATACATTTAATAAGTGTAATCAACTTTACATAGATCTAATACTTATAGTAAAATAATTAGAAACCATACCACATCATAGGAGTATATTAAAAACAGCTTATACTAATGACATTTCTGTGAATATTAAAAATTGCTTTTTATTTTTTTAGTTACTGAAACAGAAGCTAAAAGAAATAGTCTTTTTTTAAATTTAATTTTTTTTAAATGTTTTTTTTGCTGTGCTGGATTTTAATACATATCAGGGCAAAAACTTTGATACAGTATTATTATTTACTTTACATATGTGTACTGCAGGGGTCGGCAACCTGCGGCTCGCGAGCCGCATGGTCAAGATGCGGCTCTTCAGCTCCATGCACAAATATTTATAATTATTTTAATTTATTTTTAAAACTCATAAAAATATTAGTCTGCAATAGTCGGTAATTAAAGATTTAGATCTAATAACAATGTAAAGTTTCTTATTTCAAACAGAGCTTGCTAAACTACTTTAATATGTTTGGTGCAAATCATGTGTATGTTTTTATATGAATAAATATTATTTCATATTTTAAGAATATATATATATATATATATATATATATATATATATATATATATATATATATATATATATATATATATATATATATATATATATATATATATATAAAATAATATATATATATATATATATATATATATATATATATAATATCATAATATTGAAATGAAAATGTTTGTGGCTCTTTAAAAACTGTGAAATGTGGTAAATTGTAACTTTTGGCTCTTCCGTCCCAAAAGGTTGCCGACCCCTGGTGTACTGTTTTAGCTACAGATTTTAATGTTGAACTGTAATGTCAGTGTATTTGTCTTACCCCCCTCCACACAATCAGCTGAAGATGTTGCCGCTAAAACCTGTGTTGTCTGGTTGCTGGGACACTCATAGCATGTCCTGGCGTGTGAGCTGTTCTGGTAGAAGCCCAGGGGACAGGCCCTGCACTGTGCCAGACCATCAGGGGAAAAATATCCTGCCAAACAGGGGTCTGTGGGACAGATGTGGTTTACATTGGTCAACACATTTCAACACATTTCCTAGGCTGATAGGATATTGGGTGAAAAAAAAATCACATCAAATAGGCTTCTGGAGGCAACCATGGTTTAAGCTTTATTAGTCAGGTACTCGACTTAAGGATGTATTGAAAAGTTTATTTTCATGACCAGTGCATGAGGTCAGACCTTGACCAGTGTATGAGGTCAGACCTTGACCAGTGTATGAGGTCAGACCTTGACAGTGTATGAGGTCAGACCTTGACCAGTGCATGAGGTCAGATCTTGACCAGTGTATGAGGTCAGGCCTTGACCAGTGTATGAGGTCAGACCTTGACCAGTGTATGAGGTCAGATCTTGACCAGTGTATGAGGTCAGATCTTGACCAGTGTATGAGGTCAGACCTTGACCAGTGTATGAGGTCAGACCTTGACCAGTGTATGAGGTCAGATCTTGACCAGTGTATGAGGTCAGGCCTTGACCAGTGTATGAGGTCAGACCTTGACCAGTGTATGAGGTCAGACCTTGACCAGTGTATGAGGTCAGACCTTGACCAGTGTATGAGGTCAGACCTTGACCAGTGTATGAGGTCAGACCTTGACCAGTGTATGAGGTCAGACCTTGACCAGTGTATGAGGTCAGACCTTGACCACTACACTACATGAAGTGAACCAAAAACTTGGACCTACCAAGACACCCAGTTATAAGACCTTGACCAGTACGTGACGTAAACTTTCCAGGCGGACAAGGTGTGCAAGTCTTCTGGTCGCTGGAGTATGTGTTTTGTGGACAGGCTTGACAAAGTGCTTGACCGGTTGCTGAGGTATACCCATACGGGCAAGTCACTACATAAAACAGGAAAAAATGTACATACATTATTTTTTCAAACACATAGCATATCGTAATAAAACAGGTATCCTCACAAATAAAGAGTGATGGAATAAATTATGTGTACATGTATAGAACAAAACTGGTGGAAATGTGATAGAAGGATATATGTATACATGTGATATAACAAAATGTGTGTACATGAGATATAGTAATATGTGTGTACGTGAGATGGAACAAAGCATGACACTTGCATCGCATACTTGTAAAAAAAATTACACTTACAGTAGGCTATGTGTATATGTAAAAGAATAAACATGCCACAATAATGTGTACAAAACTTGTGTTCATGTGTAAAAAAATAAACATCCCACAATAAACAATGTATACAAAACTTGTGTACATGCAAAAAAAAAAAACATGCCACAATGAACAATGTGTACAAAACTTGTGTACATGTGTCCACACCACTTACAGTAGCACTCCATGAGGGAGCGTGCACCAGTTAGTGTCCAGCGTGTGTCACCAGGACACGACACACAGAACCCTTGTGTAGAGCTGAAGTAGGTCGCAGCTGGACATGGCGTACACTTAGAGCCGGCGATGCTGGAATATCCTGGTGGACATGACACTGGGGATACAGACATTTGAACATTTTTACTCCTGAAACAATTGTTAAGCTCAGACATTCTACAAAACACAATGGTAACCATTAAGCTCAGGCATTCTGAAACACTTGCTTTTTTTAAGGAGTTGATACTAAAAACAAATATAAGAACATTGGTATATTTCTTTTTGTTATCTGAAAGTTCTTTCCCTCCCTCAAAACTTGGTGTCATTTTGCACCAACATTTTGTTTGTTAAATAAAGACCTTAATCTAGTCTTAAAGTACATTTTTGTCATGGATTGTCAAATTTTTCACATTTGTGATATTTTTGTCCATATGGAAACTACAGACATAGTTTATTAAAAACCAGAATCAAACAACGGTTGTTCTTACTCAAGTTTGAACTGATTGCTAAGAACTGAATAAAATTAAAATATTAACTTGTATGGCCAGATAGACTTAAAGAACTACTATCTCACAATGTTTATTTTTTAAATTAAAGTCGGGACAAGGTCTAGCATTGTGTTAATAAGCACTTGAGCACAATTATTGAAACTGTTACTGCATTGTGTAAATATTTTCATATGAAAAACTAATAAAATAAATTTTTTGATGTCCCACACTTTGAGTTCATAAAAATAATGAATTATTTAAAAAATAATTGTCTTGCCATCCTACACTTTGAGTTCATTAAAACATCAACTTACAACAGATTGGAGTCCCCAAAGAATAGTTAATGACTTCATTGTCCCCACACTTTGAGTTTATTAAAAAACACCAACTTACAACAGATTGGAGTCCCTAAAGAATAGTTAATGACTTCATTGTCCCCACACTTTGAGTTCATTTAAAAACACCAACTTACAACAGATCGGAGTCCCCAATGAATAGTTGATGACTTCATTGTCCCCACACTTTAAGTTCATTAAAAAATAATTAAAACACCATCTTACAACAGATCGGAGTCCCCAAAGAGTAGTTGATGACTTCATTGTTCCCACACTGGTAACCATTCTGTAGTATCCTGTTGTAGTCAGCTATACTAGAGCCTGTAAAGTAGAGGATAATCTTTTCTTTAAACTTCTCTCAGTAGCAGGTACATGTTATAAGCAGCAAACAGGAATAATGTAATAAATAAAGATTTAGGAGCCTCACATAACAAACACACTCTACCCTAACTGAACAATTAACAATTTGACAACTGTTGAGAGTAAAATAATCCCTCTGATTTTAGTATCTATGAGCTACCTCAAGACTAATTCATTAAGCTTCACAAGTAGTAGGGCCTAAAACAAAGTAGCCAACAAAATAGGAAATTATTTCCTCTGAAGGAGACAGGGTGCCATATTTTCCCTACAAGTTTGAGGTATTTTCAGGTTTTTCAGGTCCGGTTATTAGAATATTTATGAAAGTACTATTTTTAAATAGAACTGAAACTCAATATTTAAAAAAAATTGTTTTGTTATTTTTTTATCAAAATAATTGACAGTGAAAAAAAAAAACAGGATTTCCTAAAACAATTATGTAAGCCAAACTTTCTGTATCATTCAACCCAATGTGTATAGGTAAATGATTTTTAACATTTAGTTAGTAAAAATATTCTTTTCAAACAGAACACAAGGCTAGCTATTGATAAATCTTTATGCAGCTATAGTTCTATTTGAGACAAAGACAAACAGAACACAAGGCTAGCTCTTGAAAAAATCTTTATGCAGCTATAGTTCTATTTGAGACAAAGACAAACAGAACACAAGGCTAGCTCTTGAAAAAATCTTTATGCAGCTATAGGTCTATTTGAGACAAAGACAAACAGAACACAAGGCTAGCTCTTGAAAAAATCTTTATGCAGCTATAGGTCTGTTTGAGACAAAGACAAACAGAACACAAGGCTAGCTCTTGAATAAATCTTTATGCAGCTATAGGTCTGTTTGAGACAAAGACAAACAGAACACAAGGCTAGCTTTTGAATAAATCTTTATGCAACTATAGGTCTATTTGAGACAAAGACAAACATAACTGACCAGAGCAGCCACTGTCAGTGGTCAGTCGTAAAACTGGCATCAATGCATCAGTTCTGCCCACAAATGCGTTCTGTATCAAATTAGCACACTGGTCAATGGCTGCGGTGGTGTAGGCTGGTGAGGAACCTTTGGCTGCCCATATGGACAGCACATAGTTGGCTATCACCTGATTGGGAATAAAAGAAATCAATTGCTATAATGATACACATCACTCTACTAGAGTTAAAACAATTTAAGTAGCGCATTTAAAATAGTCAATTAAAAATTTGTTATTCAAGATAAGGGTTGTTCTCTTCATAATCATTTCACATTTTTCATTTTTTGCAGCAAGTTAGCTGGATAATTTTTTTTTAAAAAAACATTGTATTGTTACTGATATGTAAACCATATTTTCAAGCATGTTTTTTTTGCCATATAGGCCTACACATGATCTGTGAGCTTAAGTTTTCAGCTAACTCAAAATCCTAAATAATAGAGTCTTTTGTGGTTGTAAATTGGCCTTAAGAATATAGAACAGGTTTCATTTGAAGATTTAAATAAGAAAATTTATAATAATATTTGTAATATTTAAAGTGGATTTTAAAATTGTATTATACAATAACCCAAGAGTTTTACATTCTACAAGTAAAATTCTATTTAAAAAAAAAGTTTTTAAAAATGGGTAACTTAGTTCACCAATAGAAACAGTTAACTTACAACACTGTTGCTCAATGATAAAACAGGAGTGTCATCTAGCGCCACAACATAGGTCAAGGGGGTGGTGCCATTGCAGAGTGTGTTCAGCTTGGCCACCAGGTCAGGTATCCTGGCGTGTAGCTGTGATTGGTAGGTGGCACTGCATGCTGGGAGTGGGGCTGATCCAGTGTTGTACTGCAGTTGGTGGGACTGTATGTAAGGTGCATCTCTTATTGCTGCCAGGGGTCAAGGGTCAAGGGGAGCAGGTAAGGTCAGAAAATTATCTTGACATTATAGAATTAAAATTATAAAAATTTTAAAATTGATATATGCACATATTTTTATTTTTTCTTCTATTTAATAAAAAAGATTAAATTAATTTCTGAGAAATGTAAAGAAAAGGATTGCTTTTGAAACCAGAAGCCCATCTGACCATTAAGGGAAGTGCAAAGATTATATTTTAAAAAGCTGATAGCCTACTAAATCTATGAGCAAGAATTTATCAAATTACTACATATAAAGCCTTTGTTTAAAAAACTTTGGAAAAAAAAACTTGTTTAAAAACACAAATCTCTCTCTAAAGTTTAATCCAGCACTGATTGATTTTTTTTACTGTACATACAAATCATAAAAATACTTTTGAAATAATTTAAAAGTTGTGACATTTAAAACTGCAATACACAAGAATTTTTAAAATATCTATAATATACTATAGTCCTAATACCAAAACTTGTTACATTTACAACTGCAATACAAAAAAAATTCTAAAATATCTATAATATACTATAGTTGTAATTACCAAAACCTGTTACATTTACAAATGTAATACAAAAAAAAATTCTAAAATATCTATAATAAAGCTGTTTTTCATAATAGATCAAACAAGGACTGAGAGGATGTACGTCCTAAACTAAATAATGAGCCTAAAACTATCAAGCAGGACTGACCAACACAGACAGGTGTATTCCTGGACCAGGGCCCCCCACTGCTGCAAGTGATGTTAACATACTCCAGCTGGGGGTTCTCATACATCACGTAGCCGGCGTCACACGTAACCGTACAAATAAGACCGGAGCCCGTGCTGACGCAGGTGGTTGATGCATTGTTGATGTGTAGGCTCCAGTCAACACACGCTGGTGCTGTGTTAATCAAGAATGTTTCACTTAAAGATGGGTTACTTAGAAATGTATGAACACTTATGGAAAAGTGTACAACCAAAAATTGAAAATTGCAGAAACAGAAAATTAAAATTCATTACACTATAACACTTTCGTTTGGTTATTTTTCCGGGTAAGATATTTTATTATTAGTAAAGTTCCTCTTTGGCAGATAATGTAGAGTTCATGTTTCTTGACCAGTCGACCATGCTATCCATATGTCATTATGTTACATTTTATATGTGGTCATTGTTTGCTAGCATCTATAAATGATTGATTTATAAACAACTGCCCAAGCGGAAATGTTGTGTATTTTTTAGTGGTGTATTTTCTGGTCATTAACCATAATTTCAGGTTGTTTAACGAAAGCCTATGTTGTTTAAAACAATTTTATCAATACGCTCCTTTTAACATAGTTGTATCATCTTTTAAACTAGGCATGCTGCCCAGCTTCGCTTAGGCTTTCGAAAACATTGAGAATTTGAATGCTTAATTAATTCTCCCGAAGGTCGGTCTACAACCTCAGGAGTTATGAAGAGGTTCCTACATGGACATTTTTCATTTTTTTTCTATTTATAGCTCATATAAGGCGCCAGTCAGTCGAGGTCAGTTTTGACCCCCTCATCGTAGACTTTTCGGCCAACCGAAAGATCCTGCCAAATTTGAAGTGCCTGCGGCGCCGGGAAGTGCCTGATGTCGGGCACCCGACAACTTTGCTTCATATATTATAGAGATTAGCAAATTGCATAGATAAACAAAGATTTCAATAAAGTAATTAAGGCCTGAAATACTTTAGTATAGAAATGTATTATTTGAATAGATTCTAGATCTAGGTAGGGTCTACATCTGTGTAAGTCTAGTTTTTCCATAGATCTAGATCATCTAGATCTAGATCTAGAATCTCTAGATCTAGATGATCTAGAATCTCTAGATCTAGAATATCTAGATCTAGAATCCAAATAGAATTTTCTTTTAAGTTTAGACCGAGCAAAATTGTATTGTATAAATTTTATAGCCTACGTAGCTCTAAATCATGTTTGAATGAAATAGTTCATTTCTTTATTTTATTCTAAACTCGGAAGATGACGTCATCAGTTTCGTGCTCTTTTTTTTTTAGTGTAAACAATAAGCGACGTCATTGTTAAATGCATTTTTGTCCCAAGTATATACATTTTTCCGGTGGCATAATTAAAATTGTTTTTCTACATTCGAATACGCCTTTATTTTTTATTTTTCTTCTTTAAATAAAATGTTGGTTATACGTTTAAAACATCTACCATATTTTTTTCAACAAAAGTCTGTATCAAGTTCTCTATATATCGCTGAAGATTCTGATGTGATGTCCGGCGAAAATATTTTGCGGACAGAGAGAGAGAAGAGCGCACATGGCCTTTTATATATTAGGATGAGAAGTTATCCACTGTTTTGAAATGTAAAAACAATACTTTAAGTTTGTAATGAAAACTGACCTTGAACTTTGACCTGCACCATGCACTGGTCAGTGTTCCCTGATGAGTCTGTGCCTGTGACCTTGACGGTGTAGGTCTCCCCCACACTGTACCTGTCCACAACAAGACCAGCAGGGGTGAAGGTCAGGGCAACAGGTCCCGAGTTGTCCGAGGCTGAGGTCACAAGCTGGCTGAGGTTGAGCTGCTGGCTGTGGCTGCTGTTCTGTAGGGTCAGCACATAGGATGGGACACAGCCAATCACAGGGGGCTCTTCATCTTAGGAAGATTGAAAAGTTGTCTCTCAATTTATTTTAAGCCCAGAGGAAAAAACTTATAGTAAACCATAAAAAACTTTACATTTTTGTTGATGATCTAAGTAAAAGAAGGAAAACTCAGCAAGTTAATTTAAGAAAATTTGTGATTATTATATTTTTACTCTGAAAATAGACAAAAATATAAAAAAAACCAAGGGAGGTCATTCCTACCTTTTATATTAATGTAAACAGTGCATGTAGAGTTATTGCCCGCTCCATCACTAGCCACATAGGTGACCACTCTGTTTTCACCTAACACCTGGCTCATATAGTGGTTGACCGGTGACCTTGTTAGACTCGTCACCTGATAGATGAAACATATAGGACTTTGTACAACTGAACTTTATATCTGTTTTACATTGAACATTCATAAATTAATTGATTTTTTAAAGAGAAACATGGCTTTAAAGTAAATAGTAACATTTCCTTTTTGAACCTTAAGGTCCATTGGACAAATGAAGTAGAGTTCACTATGCTCAGCCATCTTTACTTTTCCTGACTTGAGTTAGGTACCCATCAGAGTTGGGTGGACTTGAATTCGAATTCGACATTTTCATCTCAGCAGTCTAGCACTCTAACACTAAGCCATGCCATTGCACAAGAATAGCTTTAGGCTCATGTGTGTGTGTGTTTGCTTGCATGCATTATGGAATAGAAAAAACACATCTCCACATTGTCAACAGATCATAATTCATCAATGTCACCATGTGTCTGCTTGCGTGTGAATGTGTGTTTGTATGTGTATTTGTGTGTGCATTGTGCATGTGTGCATGCATGTGCTTTGTAATAGAAAAGTTTACCTCCACATTGTCAAGTGCTGATGGTTCATAAATGTCACCATGTGTGCGTTTGTGTGAGCATGTGAGTGTGTATTGTGCATGTATGTGTGTGTTGTGTATGTGTGCATGCATATGCTATGGAACAGTAAAGCTTACCTCGACATTGTCAAGAGCTGATGGTTCATCAATGTTACCATGTTTGTGTTTGTGTGTCTGTGTGTTTGTGTTATGCATGTGCTATGGAACAGTAAAGCTTACCTCCACATTGTCAAGAGCTGATGGTTCATTAATGTTTGGTGCTGTAAGTTTGGTGATGTTGACTGGGTACACAGGACAAGATACAAACTTGGGTGGCGCAGCATCTACACAATACAGTTTATTTATGTGTAACGTCTAGGTCTATATATAAACTCAGTATCTACGCAATACAGTTTATTTTTACACAGCATCTAGGCCTATATGTGTAGGCATCTACACAATACAGCTTATTTTTCTGTAGATTCTAGGTCTATATGTGGTTTTAATTGATGAAATTTTAAAATAAAATTAACTCTCAACATACTACTGAAACTTCCTGTTAAATAAAAACAGTCTACACTTTAATTATGTTGTGTTTTATATTGGGAATGCATTTAATTTGGTTAATGTAAGATAAAAACTAGTTCACAGAATTACATGAAACAAATAGAAATATCCTTACCCACACAATCAGGAGCAGTCCCGTTCCACTGAAGTTTTTTTGAATCTATGTTCCACTGACATTTCAATGGCCACTTTGTTGTGAGTTCAAATCCTGCCCGGGTACACTTATAGTAAACAAGGCTGTACTCTTCATAGGATGTGGCTATTTGTATGGCGCCAGGTTTGGTACCTGGGTCAGTGCATGAGGGGTCTGGGGACAGAGGTTCAGGGAGATTGTGAATGGGTGTTACTGAGAGATTGTGATTGGGTGTTACAGAGAGATTGTGAATGGGTGTTACAGAGAGATTGTGATTGGGTGTTACTGAGAGATTGTGAATGGGTGTTACAGAGAGATTGTGATTGGGTGTTACTGAGAGATTGTGATTGGGTGTTACTGAGAGATTGTGATTGGGTGTTACTGAGAGATTGTGATTGGGTCTTACTGAGAGATTGTGATTGGGTCTTACTGAGAGATTGTGATGCGGTGTTACTGAGAGATTGTGATGCGGTGTTACTGAATCAGGGAGAATATTATTGGGTCATATTGAATCAGGGAGATTGTGATTGGGTCTTTTTGTATCATAAAGATTGTAATTGGAAATCACAGTATCAAAGAATATATGATTGGATCTTATTGTAATAGAGAGATTGTGGTTGGAAATCACTGTATCAAAGAATATATGATTGGATCTTATTGTATCAGGGAGATTGTGGTTGGGTCTTATTGTATCATAAAGATTGTGATTGGAAATCATAGTAATAGAGCGATTGGGATTGGAAATTAATGAATCAAAGAATTTGTGATTGGGTCGAGTTGTATCAGGAGATTATGATTGAGCCAAATTGTATCAAGAGATTGTGATAGGTTCTTATTGAATAGAGAGATTGTGAATGGGTGTCAGTAACAGAGTCTGTGATTGGGTGTACTAGTGTCAAAGAAGTTATCAATACTGGTTGTCTGTCCTATGAACTGTTAGCTACAGAGGGTAAACTTGTATAATGTTGACGAGCCAGTTTGTTTGTGTGAGACAGAGACAGAACAACTCTACTTCATGTAAACTATGGATTTTTCAGTAGTTAAACCATTTTTAAACATTTTTTTAGATATCTGGGCATGGGGTTATAGGTTAGTTTTCAGCAATAAACCAGCAGTATAAGACAACACCTGTCAACCTACCCAAACAGCGCAGGTAAAACCTGTAAACCTACCCACACAGTGCAGGTAAAACCACAACCTACCCAAACAGTGAAGGTAAAACCACAACCTACCCACACAGTGAAGGTAAAACCACAACCTACCCACACAGTAAAGGTAAAACCTGTCAACCTACCCACACAGTGAAGGTAAAACCACAACCTACCCACACAGTAAAGGTAAAACCACAACCTACCCTCACAGTGAAGGTAAAACTTGTCAACCTACCCAAACAGTAAAACTTGTCAACCTACCCACACAGTGAAGGTAAAACCACAACCTACCCACACAGTGAAGGTAAAACCACAACCTACCCACACAGTGAAGGTAAAACCACAACCTACCCACACAGTAAAGGTAAAACCACAACCTACCCTCACAGGGAAGGTAAAACTTGTCAACCTACCCAAACAGTAAAACTTGTCAACCTACCCAAACAGTGAAGGTAAAACTTGTCAACCTAGTACCAGGGTCCATAGCCAAATCCCAAAAGAAAATTCAAGGCTTTTTCAAGGTTTTCAAGGTGATTTTGGGGGGAATTTCAAGGTATAAACTACCACTAACGGGCATTACAATGAGGGTGATGTATGTTTTTTGCACACAATTTTTGAAATAATTTTGGTGTTATTACAAAATTATCTAAGTCAGGAGATTGTCTGAGAGTCCAGCATAATCCCTTTTGCAATCAGTATCTTTGGTGTCAAATGACACTCCTCCAACTTCTATTTTCAGAAAAACCTCTTTCAACACTGGATTGACCATGTGACAGAAGCAATAGATCTCTAACAATTTTCCAAATGTTCACATAAGAAATTTTGCTACCAAGCTGTTCTATGAAAAAACTGTCCAGCCTATCATGTGCTCTATTAAATTTAGATAGACAACTATTTAGAGTACATGTATCTATGAATGTTGAAAATTGAAACAGCTGATTTCAGTTCCCATTTGTTGACTAGGATGTGAAGAATTCCCTTCATTTTTTTGTGTGAACTGGCTCTATTTTTAAACATTTGCATTAGGCTAAGTCTCTCACTGATGACTAAAGTAATGGAGATTTCAACAAAAAATTTGATGAAAATCCTACCAAAGTTGTCTTACAATCAGATTTGAAATTGAGAATTTGAAGCTCGCTTGCTTTTTTTATTTTTTTTAGAGACTTTATTAGAGAGTCAGCAACAAACCCAACTTCAATTGAATGACTTGTCAATGTCAAGTGCTAATCAGAATCAGGTCATTATACATAAAAGGAAGCATTGGTTCGTCTGTCTGATAGTCTTTTAAAAAGGACTCTGCACACATATTCCTTTAAAAAGGAATCTGCACACATATAGAAACAAAAAAAAACCTAGCTAGGCTTGTAGAAATTATCCTGCTTAATGTCATAAATGACCTCACGCTTTTTAAACGATTATTACCTCTCCCCCTCCCCTCCGTCACACATCAAAAAAAGCCAGGCCCGGCCCTCTAAAATGACGTCACACCTCAGCCTATAACCCCCCCCCCCCTCATAATTGCAGTTGAATTTTTCTTAAAATACGATTTTTTCCCAAAATCTTGTCTGAACTCTGTCAAAATAGAGTATTTTAATCAATTCCTTTTACAATTTATTAAAACAGTTTTCTAAAATGCCAAAATTTGTTTTCTAACATTGCTTTTTAATAATGCAAAAGTGTGATGTCACACCATCTGACCCCCCCCCCCCCCATCCCCTCATCACACACCGTCACACGATTATGGATCCCCCCTCCCCCTACGAGTGTGACGTCATTTATGGACGACCCCTATGTCCCCACCTATGATATACATGATGATGTAAAGAAATATCGTGGAAGTTTTAAGTTAGTTCATATCGCGGAATAACAGAATTAAGTTGTTTTTTTTTAAAAACAATTTCACAAGTAACTACGCTAGTAATACTCATGTCAGAGATGTAGCCGCCCGACAAAGTGAAAAGCGGATTTTTTTTTACAAGCGGATGGGAGGGGGCAGTGACAGCGGCAATTTTCTCAAACACGGTAATTCGAGGCTTCTTAAACATTTCAAGGACGTTTTACCACAGTAAAAAGCAATTAGATCTAGACCCTGCTAGATGGTGTTACTAAATTATAGCAGACCTACATATTTTGTTCAATGACCTAAAGCGATGCGGATATAGTTTTTGTTTTCGCTTAAATCTAGCAGTAAGCCCAATATTAAAGATAACCACGTTAAAATTAGATAAACAGCGTTTGTAGAACTGCCTTGACCGTGAGACACGACTGTGCTCGCGCGTGGTCTCGTGTCGTAGGTCATACGGTCAGCGCGACCTTGAAGTGAGAGGTGGTAAAAAAGTGTCCGTAAAGTTGAGTGAAAACAGCACAGTCATAGTCCTTCAAATTATTTTTCTTTTCTTTTGATAAATACAAAAAAAATTTACGTCGGCGCAAAATCTTTCTTTTTTTAAGAAGACAATCGGCGATGCTAATGAGCTGGTAATGTTAGGATTTAGTTTTTTTTTTAATTACACAGCCTAGCGGTAGCCCATTGATGACGTCACGTAATTAATGCGAATTTTATTAATAGTTAAAAATCTAGATCTAGATCCACCACTATAATATACTGCGAAGTCACTGTAAGTTGAGATAGACCTAGAAGCCATCTAAGGTCGCAGTGACCGAAACGTCTGCTGACGTGGGGTACACAAAGAACCGTGCTTGATCTAGGTTCGTAAAAACGTGTCTTCTCGCACATCTACAACAACAGAACACAATAACTCGATAAATTATGTCTCAGACTGTCTCGCTATTTACCTGTAATTCCGCAGCTACGTTTCGCCCTTTTGTGTTTTACACACACCGAGAAAATTTTAATTTAAATAAATAAAAACCTACGCTCGCATAGTTCAGGCTATTCTTTTTTTATTTAAACCTAAGGCTTATTTTCTTGAAGAAAAAATATTAGTTCTAGATGTAGGTTTAATTATAATCGAGATAATTTCCATGCGCGACCAGAATTTTAATGATTTAGGCCACATTCCAATTTTTTTCTTTACGGACATCACCGATCAGGAGACAACAGACCACTCGCGGGGTCAATAAAGTTCACAATATAAATAGAGCCAACGACTGCCGAGATATTGTCGGGAAGGGATTTGGGGGGGGGGGGGGGGTCGATTGTTATGATGGAAGATGGTTGAAACAATAGAACCGGATAACACAGAAATTTAACACAAGAAAAAAAAAAGGTCGACACTAAATCGATTTTGATGTTTACTGTGGGCTTTTGCGTAACATTTGCGGCCTAATTCCGCAACAGGGGTGTCAAAATCGAAAAATTACGGACAAAAACCGTACAAGTAGGTAGGCCCTAACAGAAAACA